TAATTTAATTATGAATAGCACTTAAGCATAGTGTAAGTTAACATTTGCAAATAATTATAGAATCTCTGGAAAGGAAGTGACTTGATATGAAACAGAGGCCGCCAAATACGACATTAAACTCGTTGTTAATTCTTTAAATTAATGTATTGGGTAATAGTGATAAAAATGAATAAAATATCACTTTTAAGAAATACGTTCAAATGAATTATATTTTGTTATTAAATTTCTTATAACTCTGGTCTTTTACGATCTTCATTTTAAGCGGATTTCAAAATCATTCGCCTGCTGTTTTGTATCGTTTGATTTTATAAATTACTTTATGCTGCTGTGTATCTAATGTTTCAAAAGTGCTTCATGGAATTTTCATAATTCGCTTAAAATATATTCTAATACACTAAGTTTTGGTTAGGCTAAGTACTTACAATGTTCTACATTCTATGCACTTTTAAGCACTTTCTAAAATACTAAATTTGTGTTTACGAATAAGAACTCAAACTTGTATCTAGAAGCTAAATCCGAATGTTGTCCGGAAAAATCATCCAGGATTTGCGCCATATTTTATGCAAATTAATTCACCTTAGCTCCATAAATGATCAAGATTCCACAAGATGTTTGAAATGTGGAATTCTAAGACTTTCCTCTTTCTTATGTTTCAGTGCGCCGTGTAGTGAACTGGAAGTTAATGTCTATGAATTTTGTGAAGATCTTTTTCTAATGTAGCCGCAAGCGGTGTAAATACTTGGCTTCATCATGTCGGCCTTACATTTCACTTGACATCTTTTTACCTTACCTTCTGAACCTTGCATTTGCCCACGTGACAAATCGTAAGACAACACGTGGACACAATGAATCCTCTTAAATATGTTCGCTTAAAACCATTCCGTTCTTCTGTCCTCTGGGAAGAATATGTTTCAGAGACTTGTGTCCCTAAGCACCTGTCAGAAAGGCTGGAATGGAAACCGGGAATATATTTCGCTGTCGGCAATTGCTTCTTTATTCTGAGCGAACTTGAACGCCATTAGCCTCTTCCTTCGACTCTTATCGTAGGATTTACTAATGTCTCTGTTTTTTTTTTAATTGATTTTAAACTTGCATTAAGATTTCTTACTAATAGTTGCACGTCCTGCTAGAAAGCGGAGTATTTAACTAATTAGAATCGGTTGATCTATGCCATTATAGTTGGCTGTCATCAGTTGCTACATATCAAGTCAATGCATCTATTTATTGATGCCTGCCTATATATGCAACTGGAGAGCTAGGACCCGATCCAATATCTTTAGAATCGAAATTTGCTACACTTCTGGCGAACTTTTTTTCCGGTAAGTTTTAACTTAGCAGAAGATTAACTCTCGTCAACATAGCCGTGTAGGTCATAGGGTTACGCAAGCCATTCTACCACATCACCGTACATAATTATAGGGTTGCATACCAGGAGATCATACTTGATATTTACTAACGTCATTCAGCTTTAAATCACCAAGTGGGGATTAAACTCACTTAAATGCAACGGAGGGGCCCTTCGATATTTCCTCACAATGCATGAATAGTTGTGATACGGCAATTCTGATATTCACTAAGTGTAATTTAGTTTGTCACAAGGTTTTAAAAAATCGGACACCCAGTAAGGACTGAATTCATTTTTTAATTGTCGCAGAAAACAGTTTTAAGGATCTCTATTATAATTCGCTATAAAATATATAGATACCTTAAAAAGTTTCTCCAAGCAAAATTTAATAATATTTCCTCTAAATCGAACGCAAGCAGTTAATGTTAATAACAGTCCACCCATGAACGCTACAGATTAAATTGATGTAATTCCTTTACAACTTGAAATAAACTTTATTATTTAATGTTCATAGATGATGCTGAAAGTTCTAGGTCTGACAAAGATGGATGATCAAGAATAAATTCTCATATTTCGGCATTGGATCAGATTTTTGGAAATTGGTCTGGCATGGAACTATCAAGCATTCCTTCACATTGGCCTCGTTTAGTCACCCATTAAATTCTCTTAGATATGTTTTTCACGCTTTGTTGTCCCATGTTGAAACGTTTTCCCATCTGTTTATTCTCTTGCTTTATGTTTTTCCTCCTCCTTTTATTATTTTACTAAGTGTCAAACATTTTATTTCCCTGTGTGATGATCGAGAGCAGGAAGCAGCTAAATATTGTGATTGCAAAATACAGACAATAACGATAACATTTCAATCAAGTCAGACATATTCGCTATTTGCGGTAATCTCATTGTCTGTTAATTAAAAAGTGAGAAAACAAGTCATATGAAAATGGGAAACAAATACTTCTGTGCCATAAAATTTTTAAAAGAGCAAAATATATTTTTAACAAGCGTGATAGCGCTGACCATCGACATATTTAAAAAAAATTGCATTCGAAATCAAATTTCACACGCACACAGGAAAGCTCACAGGCACGGACACGTGAACATAATAGTTGTGTATTTGGACATCCATCCCTCTCGAATATATGTTTCCTTAACATGACTAACAATGTATTTCTATTAATTTATTTATATGCGAACAAGTCTTTCTTTTATCAGCTTGAGTGTGGAAATTGTTCTAATGAGTGTATGTTCTGTCTCCTTTCGGCGAATTTGCAAGCCTATTTTAAAGATTTGCGCTTCGCGAATTGTTACACACTACTCACTGTAATACATAAAAATGACAGAATAGACTATTCGTCATTTGTAAATTATATATATATATATATATATATATATATATATATATATATATATATATATATATATATATGCAAACTGTAAACGTTGTGCAAGTGATTTTGTAAACTGCTCCGTTATAAACAGGAAAACAATAAACAAAAGTGTTGTGTAAGATACACCTAATTTACATAAGTGGAGTACCGACCATATAAATATGGGTTGGTACCGGAAGACGGGGTGAAGATTAAGAGATCGAATCGAGAGACTCTGCCCGACTGCGATTTAGTCAACCCATTATGCAGGAACAGTCTTCCCAAGAATATACCAAAACTAACTGTAAATATTGTGTACCTTTTCCTTGTTTCAATATATTTTGTTAACGTACATTTTGTGTTATATTATTATTATTCCATGCTTATCCAAGTTTCAACAAAAAGCTAAAAATTCTTGAAGCTATATACATAAAACAGTTGAAACTTAAACTGAACAAAATAAACTACGAAATCTCCACAAATATTCTTAAATTCCTATAATTAATAACAGAAGCCATTTGTTTATACCAACGGCTTCCCATACCTAGTACTTCTCGTTTTCACTCACGCGTGGTCATGTTTGATGTCACGATCTGCGATACGATTTTCGCTTCTGCGTCTCGTATGCACGAGTTAGCTGTTGCTTTAAAATTTTCATGAAACAAAAACAGACTATCATTATTGTTTCGTCCGTGTATTGTTTGATATATTGAAATGTAATTGTCATCTTTGATAATGGCTTATGTAAGCCGAAAGCTTAGATTGGATTTAAACATGCATCACTATGGTGATTTATTTTCGTCATTTTCTAATGACGTTCTTAGTCTATGATTTCAACCTGATGTCACAGACGCAGTGCTATCCCTTTTCTCTCCTTATATCGTCAGCGACGCATGATTTACCCACTACCTCTCGTGTTACAGCTTTTTGGCGTTCTTGAAGCCTTACCTTAAGGGGGCGGCCTGTCTTCCTTTTTTATTTCTTTCCGCCGCTGCACGGGATATCGTAAACACAGTCTTTAGTCATGTTCCCCTCTAAGGAAAGTCTTACTCGGGAGAGGTATCTGCGAAATGTCACAGTTGATAAAGCCGTTGACAGGACCCAAAGATTTGCGAGTTCAATACCTGGTTACTGATAACTGACATTCACTAGACATGGCACGTGGAACTAAAACAGTCTACCCCAGCGATCATAATAAAGGGTTCAGTTTGACATTCCAACCATCTGAAGAAGGCCAGAGCGTACAACGGCCGAAACGTTGTGATAAATATGTCAACAAAGATGAGGACAACAGTCCGAATAATGTAAATTACCATGCTTATAAAAAATGTATTAGATCAACAAAGATCAGGTAAGAAAAATCAAAAGTAGCATCCTAATAAAACCAATAAGCAGAGACATTTTGGTAAAATGATCGTTTCGTCTTTCATTCGAGAAGACAGTTTCGATTTTCTCCTGTCTCTCCTTGCTTTTAATATTGACTCTTGATCATACAATTTACAACGTGACATCTTCACGGGCGACACTTGGCTGGCAGTATTCATTTGTCATTAGCCTTTACTGACAGACTGAAAGTTTATGGAATGTGAAACCTAGAAAAGTAGACTGATTAAATCATGTAGGATAAAGGCAAACGCATATTTCACATAATTTCATTCCCCGTACAATTGAAAGAATAAACATATTTACCTACATGGTCACGTTAATATAGATCTATACTAAGATTTACTTGGTGGAGCTCATATCTTTCAGGTTGCTTCGACTTCACTGCTACTTTAAGTTGTCATCAATCACAGCGCTAATATGACACAATGACCTGTCTCGTTCAGCGAAGAAATGCAAATGATTTATTCTGATCAATCTTTCACCCAGACCTCCTTGGAGAAAAAACAATAGCTAGTTGCATCCCAAAATCAAGTATGTATATATATTTTTCAGTTTAAGGCATAACAGTGTGGACCATGAGGCAGGAGAAAGGTGAGTAGTAGACTCACCAAAGAGTATGGGAGCTTACCTCCCCGGTAATGGGCGATCAGATAACCTCAGCGAACCTGGGAAAGGAGGGATAAGCACCCACAACCCGCATCTGATACGTTCATAATAAGTAAACTTAGTGCTAGTGGGTTTACTGCCTTGCGTAGGGTGAATTATAACCGGAGTGGGAAATATTGAAGATACAAAGTATATGCACAGAGAGGCAGTATGGTCATAGGATTCAACAATTCATGGTGACACTCAGTTTTATACCTGTAAAAGTACTTTGTTGTTGTGCTGTATTCTATATCCAGGCTCTCCCCTTTCTCTTTCCCTTCTCTCTCTCCCTTTATCCCCTCTCTCTGTCTCTCTCTATCTCTGTCTGTCTGTCTCTCTCTCTCTCTCTCTCTCTCTCTCACACACACACACACACACACGTGCGCGCAATAGAGGTGAAAATCGGTTCGGCCATAAAAATCCATTTTTTTAAAAATTTCTTCAGGTTTGCGAAGAATGTTTGCCAGTAAACATTTCACCTTTTTTATCTATCTATCTATCTATCTATCTATATATATATATATATATATATATATATATATATATATATATATATATTACAATATTAATCATTCATACAAAAAGTAGACTAGTAAGAATATATGAAAGATTCATTGTAATATAAATTGAACTGCACCGCATATTTGATATATATATATATATATATATATATAGATAGATAGATAGATAGATAGACAAGAGGAAATCTTATTTTAGCCAATGTTTTTCATCATTTAAGAGACATTATCAAGACAAAGGAATGGATTTTATTCTGTAACGCGTCGGCTAATGGAATGTTTTCCATTTATCTTTATTCATATTCTTCTTTTAAAGATATACTAATTTTACACACACATACACACACGCATAGAAACACCCACACAAATGTCGATGTTGGAGGTTGACGAGCGTCCCCCTCCTTGAAAGTGCGTCACGCTTCTCCGGACAGTTTTAAACTTCTCGATCCACTCTGTGATCACCAGTTACATACTATCGCCTGAAGAAGTACAATCAAAGTATTCAAACATAAAAGCTTTTGTATAGCGATTTCAGCATGTTTTTTGTTAGAATCTTTTATAACTACTACTACTACTACTACTACTACTACTACTAATAATAATAATAATAATAATAATAATATAGGGCTTTAATTTGTATAGAACACTTTTTAAAAGTAAATGCTACGAACAGTGGAATTTCACTCAATCTGTTCTTTCTCTCATTTGTATATATATATATATATATATATATATATATATATATAAAGGATGCTATCTATATAGCCATTAGGAAGATTTATCTTTCTATTTCTCTCTTTCGCTATCTCATTATACGGGTACATACATACGTACACGGACATAGATATACATATAGACACCCCCACACAAAAATATCGGAAAGAATGCAAGATAAAATTGAGTTCTAATAAAGAAATTGAGACACATTCAGTGACACAGAAAGAGGACATACGTCAATAGACGTGCCGCAAGACAGCTCTTTTTAATAGAAAAAATGTAAAACAAAACAATGCGATGATGCAGACCCAATCTTAAGACCTGATTAGGACCTTTACTCAATGAGGCCATTAGCTGCCGGCTATCACTTTCATATTAAAGATTCTTCTGCAAAATAAAATGCAAAAACAAATATAAGCTTCGATATCCGCTTTGGTCCGAGTCCTACTATTGACACTATTGTAGATTACAAGTCGCTCCGAGCATGCCTTCAGCTTAAAAAAGTTAAAGGAATGAAAAGAGATGGAAATTGTTGTTTCGTCCGTTGATTCAATTTTATTCTCTGTCTGTTTTCGAGCGTAAAGCACCGAATCATTCACTGTTTGATCCGCCCAGCTGTCAAAAAAGGTGCAATGAAAGCGCTTTTAAATTGCTTTATTACAATCCTGTTTGTGATCGGGCAAAAACGGATATTAATTTGCTTCGCTTTTTTTCTTCTCTTCACTGTTCTATTCTAGGGACCTGCGACCGTCAATTATAGCTTTTTTTTGCAAAGACCATCTCAGGCATTTAAGTACTATTTACGCACTGAACCGGTTCTTTGTCCTGTCGTTCATTCTCATTCTCTCTATCCACCCTCCCCTGTTCTCCTTTATCTATCTATCTATCTATCTATCTATCTATCTATCTATCTATCTATCTACAACTGAGGTCAAATCTTGTTATCCAATATCGTTTTAATTGTTTTGCTTGTTGATCGGTACGAATCTGAGAGCTCTCTGTAGTGCAAAAAATGTCGCCAATAAAAAAGCTTTCTTAAAGAAAAGTCTCTGAGCCTTCTACCTTTTGTTGTTCATTTTAATCTCTTTACCCAACAAATTGGTGTAGACATAGATATAACGAAAGTGCCAAAGAGAAAACAAAAGGAAACTCTCAGCCGCATATTCAAAAGTAAGAACATTTCTTAACAAGAGACTGGAGCATAGAATTGATCCAAACATACTAATGAAGCAACGGAAAAGACATAATAAGTAAAGCCTAAAACAAATTTACACAACGTAAGCTTACTTAAAAATAAGTTGCCAAATGTGCATATTATTCAATGTCAAGCTTTTCTCTAATTATGCATTGCATTAATAAATATCTAAAAAAAATAATAAGTAAAAATATAGATAACAATATTAAAGAGATTGATACAAGACTGTCAGAATGAAACTCAAAATTTTTAACCTCACAATAATCAGTCATGTAAGATAAAACACGTAAATATCAATTAATTCCAACAAGCACATAGCAGTTAAAC